ATATATATATATATATATATATATATATATATAGTANATAGTACTAAGTACTAACTAACGTAAGGGTAAGTAAGGTAGTATATATATATATATATATATATATATATATATATATATATATATATATATATATATATATATATATATATATATATATATATATATATATATATATATAATAACTTATTTACAGATTCTAGTTATTGTTAAGCAGTTGTCGTTTAGGCTGTTGTTTAATGTATCGTACTTATGCATCTTATTGTATTTTACACAACAAGACCCCACTAAATATTACATATGTAAACCACGTTTTGCAAACTCACATTCGAAGACGCGTCTTCTTTCGGCAGCAACAAACGCATAACTGTGAAATACATGTATCAACAGTAAACATTTTTTAATATACTTCCTCATTTAATGTCATGAAAATGACAGTATCACAAATATACTAGAAAAAAAGGACCACCTCCTGCAACTCATTTGTGAAATTAATGTCTCATGTGTTTTTGTAGTAAGTCATGTACCTGATCATAAAAAAGGTCAGAAATGTCACATTTGCAAAGCAAATATTTTTGACTTATCACAGTCTAATCGGAGAAACTAATGCTCTGTTTATTCCTACTCAAAGACATTTAAACATATGGTGACCGGCCCCTCCAACTCTGTTTGCCGCAGTACCAGTTACTATGGTGACAGACGTCCTAAACAAGGAAATTCTCTTACGTTGAGCTTTCGACCAGTCACTCTGGTCTTCCCCAGTAGACTCCTGACCCAGTAAGACTTTTCATAATTGTGACGTCAACAGTAGTGGGTCACCACACGGTAACAATACATGTATTGGACACCAAACAAGACTACTTCCTGATAGCGGTGTAAGAGGCTATTTACATCAGGGCCTATTCTTCACTCAACCGCGACGGGGGCCGACATTGTTTTCCATATATTTTTGACCCAATGTGGACACTCAGAGAAGCTACGTGACAGGTCAGTCTACTGAGGAATACCAGAGTGACTCATTGAAAACTTTTGGTGAGAAAATTACCTTCTATTGGATCAAAAAAAGTATTGACTTTAAGCAAATGTGTTTCCTTTTACGTCAAGGTAAACAGAATTACTCACATCCGTCCACTATGGTCATACCAGCAACCAGCAGGAATGGACTGCTGTACCCGAAGAACTGGTACATCACTCCGCCGATAATAGGACCGACTGTGGGTAAACAGGAAGTTACAGTTTTATTCAATCCAACAAAATCATACAAAAGCAGGGAATGCTGCATGCATCCATGAATTGTGTAATTGATTTTTACAATAGGTTAAAAAACAAGACAGGACAGGTACACAGAAAACACACTATATACAAATATGTGCAAACACCATTCACTCTGCTATATGCATGCAAATAGCAGGCATAGGTTTTCAAATACATGTATCAGCCATTGTCACTGACATTGAAGAGTCTTACTGCACAGTGAATGAAGGACTTTTTCAGAGGACTTTTACATCAGGGCCTATTCTTCACTCAACCGCGACGGGGGCCGACATTGTTTTCCATATATTGTGTTATATATATATATTAAGTTATATATATAGACAGACTCCATGATGAATGCAGTCCCTTCAGAGTTTGTCGAAGAGTATCAGCATTAAATGTTAGAATGGAAGTTCAACTGTGTTGGTACAATTCATTATAGAATAAAAATTAAACTTAGACTGCCAACACTGGAATGAATTGGGGCTTGTGTTGTCACCCCAAGCTGTAAGGCGACAACACTCAAACCCTAATCTATAGATAGTGCCACAAAGAATCATTCCTCATCTTCAAAACCAAATATATAGGTCTGGTCTTCATACCATATTCCAAGGGTATCTATGAGCCCCTCAAGTACAGTTTTAAGACTTACTTCAGACCCACTCGCTATGAATATCATTGTGCTACTGAAAGACAAAACTCTTAAGAGAAATAGGTGTGAGGTACGCATATAGGTGAGACAGAACTTGCTTTAAAAACATGATTCCTAGAACACTAACGTCCTGGCTCCGTTAACCCAGAGTTTTTCAAACATATTCGTATTGAATCTCCGGGACACTTTCCAACTCTGAACCAGAGTGAAGGAGGCGGTCTACATCAAAGCTCACAGTCCTACCCTAAACAGAGACGGGGGGCGACACATGTTATCTGGCACGCATGACTCGCTATTACGGCCATGTGTCTCTACCTTTACATTCCAAAAGTAGACGGGTCCATTTCGTGAACAAGGTGGACGGCAATAATGGAATCAGCCCGAAAATTTGGGTATTGCCCAATTCATTCCGGTGTTTTATTATTTTATAACATCTAATTATTTCTGTTCTTTTAGAACTGAGTGGCATTGTTGTATTTATTCCCTGTCATTGTTGTCAAACGTTGTACAACTATCGAGCAATAAAGTACATTCGTCAACAAAAGTAAGAAACACTGGGCCAATTACGAACCGAAGCCGTAATAGTGAATGTGGTTGTTTCTTTTTAAGTTTTTTTTATGTTTGACAAGTTGTCGACTAGTTCTGTCATTCATTTCAGGACGCCGAATCAGGTCACATTTCCAAACCGGGGCCCCGCCGGGTGTATGAACGAAAAATTAACAATTTATGTCAAGAATATACAGAAATAGTGCCCATGATTGTTATGAACAACTTTTCTGTGTTCTGTTGTCTTTTTTGTCGTACTTTTCGTTCCCAGAAGCTGCCCGGCCGGGCCCCGTGTGAGAATTGTGACCCCAGCATTAGACTGATGTATGCCACTCGACCTGTTTGGAAGCAATCTTCGTGATGTATCCAGTAGTGGAGTTTGAATTGTCATTAACATTTTTTCTGGTTTATTCTTTAGTTCGCAATTAGAACATGAATGATATTCTAGTGAAGAACTTACCAATGATACCAAACGTCATTCCTGTTTGCACGATACCCACGTTCTTTGCCCTCTCTGCATTGTCTCTGAATGCTGCTGACACCATAACTAATGCTACAGTCGGATAGAGAGAAGAGTATTGCATTAAGCCCCTGTCGCATAATTGTTTGAAACAGCCCTAATAAAAATTTCCTTCGAAAACCGTTACAGTCATTATAAACCGTCGATATGGTATGTTATGCCACCCGTAATTGGATAGGGCTAATTGATACCGGTGTAAAGAATCATGACAATAAATGTTTAGACCACCCACGAATACAACAGCGGCTTTGCTACATGTCACATGGCTCCAACAAAGTCATAGTGTACATATACTGTACAGAAAACAGTTTGTGTTGTGAAAAAAAATTCGTTTTCTGCAATTGGTTTAGAAACGAACACTTCGACAACAAGCCATGGCATACTAACAAACCCACCTGCTACTGTGGATAAAGGAGCTCCGACACCCTGAATCACTCGTGATATGATGAGAGCAGGGTAGGATCTGCTGAAGGCAAATGCTGCCGAAACATATCGTATCAAAGAAAGAGAATGTTTAAAAAAAATAGTAAAGTAAAGACATATGAGATTCCAAAACTCCGTGAGCATAATAATGTTTATCACAACGACTGCTGATAGCTAGTTTCGACATAACAGAAATAATAGCAGTAACGCTACAATTCGTAAAAGATGCGTTATATCACGATAACGATACACAATACAGACTTGAACCCCCTCCTGAAAGTAATGTGGTATATTCCATTAGTCCCACAATGTTTAACAGCTGTTGATAATGGGCGATACCACACTACATACATGGGGACCAATAATTTCAATATAAAGACATGTAGAATGAAAAATGCAAACAGCATTATTTGTTTCGGGGAATCCGTAATATACATTTAGCTGAGAACACTCAAACAAATACACATATAAAAAAACAATACCTTCTCGCGGAAGGACATCTCCTTCCCGGATGTAATAAGGCTAAGAGTTCTTAGTTAGTAGTCACAAACAAGCAAACAAATAACATACCAATAGTTGATGCGAAGACGACAAGTATGCCTAGGTACAGTGGTATATTGTAACCAAGTCTGAAAAAAAAAACACAAATGCGGTTCTTTTTATTGGTTACATTCTGGCACGGCATTGGCGACTTCTGTGTCACACATACTAGTAAGCTGAAAGTGAAACAGGAGGAACTAAGGTCAAGGTTAGAAAAGTGAAACACGCTTTTAAAGCTGTTTCTCTAATTTTTACCTTCGCCAAGAAGATTGCGTTTTTGGTGGCGTTCGCGTGTTTGTGTGTCAACACAATAACACAAGAAGGCTAAGATGGATTGTCTTGATACTAGTACTTGATAGATGGGTTATAAGGTCTTCATGAGATATAGAAATGATTAGATTGTGTCCCCTGGCGGCTTGTTATGGTACTGCAGCTGAACTTGCGGTTTTGAAATCTCGTTATCAGAACATTATCTGGTCAAGAATTTTGGATGATCCATAGCTCTTGAAGTAGGAAAGAAGTGATGTGAATCTGGCCCCAAAGCAGCTTTTCAGGACATATAGGAGCATTGGTTGGAAAATATTTAGAGGTGGATAATCATTACTCTCCAAGCAGAGGTTTGGGTTTTGGGGGTATTTTTAGTGTGTTTTTAGGCTTTTTTTATCGGGGTTTCTCTTTTGCACTGAATTTTTTTTCCCACCAAACCCAACCTCTGCCGGCAGTCGAAAGCTTCAATGGGCTATAAACCTAATCACTTCAACACATTTCAGTCGTTCTGCAAGGAGGTGTGAACCAGACGCATGAATAGGCACAGTCAGCAGGAGGCGTGTAGCCCAATGAATGCCTTCCTGACTGGCTAGATGTGTGATAATCCACCACAATAAAATGGATATCCCTAATGACAGTTTGATGGTTCCCGGGGAGGGGCACTATCGCCTGTTTTGAATAGCTTTTAATAGGTTTGCCCCTCCCGGGGTGAGTGCCGGCAGAGGTTGGGTTTGGTGGGAAAAAAAATTCAGTGCAAAAGAGAAACCCCGATAAAAAAAGCCTAAAAACACACTCATGGCGGTCTGTCACTAGGCCATTCATTCCCATTGCTGGGGGCGTTCGATAAAGTATCAGGTTACAAGACGCTATTTTGGGCTAATCGCAAAACATTTGAAAATAAACAAACTAGTGTCGAAGGGAAATATCGTTGATATAAAATAAAATTATCGTCTTGACATACATTCAATTGTGATTTTTGTCGCTAAATGGATGATTTTTTCGTTATTTCTATTAAAAAGTACGATAATTTTTCGGGTATTTCGTCAGCGTCATATTTTAGCCAATCACCGAGCAAACCTGGCTACACATATTACGCAAGATCACTGATTTTTATATTTTTCGACGACTAGGAATAAGACGAAAAATCGTGCTTTTGGGATTTTTTAATTTCTGACTATAAGTATATTTTTTGTCGACAAATAGGTAGAAAAAATCGTAATTTTTGGGTCTTTTTTAGGACTCAATTACCCATAATTCAAATGAAACGCATGTTTACAAAAATCCCAAAAGCACGATTTTCGGGACAACCGTGACAGTCATTTTGAGCCGTAATTGGGGTATGTTTGACTCTCCACGCTTCCAGGTTTGAACGAGTTTTGCAGACATGTCATATCTCCCAAAAGTGTGCACCGTGTTATTCATAAAGGCGTAAAGAATCATTACAGCATTCAAGGTCACCCAAGGATACGACAGTAGCTTTGCTACATGTTACATGTCCACAAAAAAATGATAGCGGACATGTAGTGTCCTGGAAACTGTTTGAATCTATAGAAAAGTGTTGTTTTTTATCTGTTGCGAGTCACTCAGGCAGAAGGGCTTGTTTTGCCGCTTTATTGTAAATGACCGCATGTGACCCCGAAATGGAACGCGGGTTCGATTCGAATCGCCCAGATCGAACACGATCGAACACTGTTCGGATTCTATGAAATGTGGGAACTTTACAGCCCAGATTTTACCACCGTGACTAAAAATACCCCCAAAACCCAAACCTCTGCTTGGAGAGTAGATAATCATGGTTTTTAGAAATGTAGATAGCTTAAGTGATACATGACATAATCTTATTACAATTATAAATCTAATTTGCATAATCAATAAGGAAATTCTATAAATCTGCTACCATTCATGATCGGACTATTCAAACCTGTGACTTATGTAAAAGTGAATGAGAGGAAAATTGGCTGATATTGGATATGAAGACATATTTTCATAATTACAAAAGACAATAATTACATTGTAGTAACTGTGGTGAATTTATACTTGTGGCTTATTGAAGATAGGGGAATTTGAACATCACTAAATATAAACGTTTATCCATTCCCGACTTGGCAGTTTTTCCAGCTTTTGAATACACCAGAAAGGCGTCATATTTTAAACCTCCACATCCTGACAATTAGTTGCAATGGAGCAGGGTTGATTTAAATAAGGTAACGACCAAATAATCTAATTTTTATCGTACTAATGTTACAACTTTAAAGTGTTAAAAGCGGCATCTAAAACATTATAATAATGATTAAAATTAAAACTTTTGATCCAACACAACAAAGTTAATCTGTGTTGGTAGTTACATGATTAAAGTTAAAAACTTTTGAAACAACATAACAAAGTTCTCTCACCTAGAGCTTTCGACTAGTCACTCTGGTCTTCTCAATACACTGACCCAATGAAGCTTGTTACGTGTCCTCTTTGAAGTGTGACGTGAACACTGGGTCAAAGGTATCTACTGAGGAAGATCAGAGTGACTAGTCGAAAGCTCTAGCTGAGAGAACTTTGTTGTGTTGTTTCAAAAGTTTTAACTTTAATCATGTAACTACCGACGCAGATGAACTTTTATGATATTATTAGAACGATTTAACCTTCTGTCTGCTTAGATAGTTAAAATTAAAATTTACCTGTCAGCCAATAATCCAACCACCGGGGATATGACGAGTGAAACAGCCGGCTTGGTGGCATATAGAATCCCGAGTCTGATGCTCTGTTTGTGCAGCGCCTCGGCTCGCTCTGAATGCTCACTCGCGTGCACAGCTGGTGAACAGGTCTCCAGTCCCCTGCATGATGTCGTAGTTTTGATGTTTGTTGACAACTTTAACATTGCTGGGTTGACGTGGTGGGTGAGGATGGCGCCGTTGTAGTTGGGATGCTCCAGTCTGTACAGGTAGTCTGGCATGATGGG